CAACTGGAGAGAAGGGAGGCTTACGATAGACCATTGATACGGATTTCTTTTCATATCAGATTATCCCCAGAGATCAAAAAAAATTAAGTGCGATGCTCCCGACGGATATTGTGATTACTGGCATGATATTCATAAAGAAAAACTGAGTATCAGTGGTCTACCGTAATCCTCACTTCTTTTCACTTGCTTCGCTGAATGTTTCTAGAACCTTTACCCGTTTCTGTGCATGGTTCTCAATAACCAATGATATCCTTTCTCATTTTCCGACATTTGATGATTTGATATTCAAAAAGGACACACCGGACTGTCTTGGAAGACACTTTCAAGTTCAATTTTCTTCGAATTTTCGAACAAATGGTCGTTGATTTCAAAGATTTCTGTATGATTATCCGTTTTTCGCGGTCCGTAAGAAGTGGCCAATGACCTAGGGACTTTTTTGTGTTGTAACTGGATAAAGTGAACGCATATCGGCTGATGACAGCTCGTAAACGTCCCAAACTTTTGAGATTTGACGGAGCAACAGGCGTTGTGCCTATCTGGTGCCAAGTTCTGGCGCTTTCGTAATCAGCAATTTGGGTTTTCAGCCCCATTGCTGTAAAATTCCCTGAAGTACCCATATTCCATTGGTAAACATGTCAATCGATCAAAAAATTTGAAAAAGGACACAAAAATGGGGGTGGCCGTATCATTATGTGGAAAAATAAAAAGCCAAAAACCACAAAACTCAAAATTTCTCAATTACTCAGCATAAGTCAAATTTCTCTGTAGGACCCATAATTGTCATTTTTGGCAAGGTTTCTACACTATGAAAATGAGTTTTCGAAGATTCCGGATAACTCTGTTTTTGAAATTTGAGGGGTGGCCGTATCATTATGTAGAGCACTGTAGGAGGGAGAAAAATGGGGATTCTGAATGAAAGGAAAAATTTAGAAATATATAAAAGTGTGTCTCAAAAATAAGAAAATAAACTGAAGCATTAGCCCTCAAAACCAAAAATTGATACGGATCATGAGTAAAAATTCATTCTAGCATAAAAACTCGTGCTAATGTATGCCTTGTACCCACGTGCAAAAAATTAATTTTGACAAGTACACCATGCTGCTTGAAACGTCACATAATCGGTCATTCAACTGAAAGAAAAACTACAGTATCACCGTTGAGATTGAAAAGTTGATTACCTTAACGAGAAAATTGAACCTCGATAAGTGGCTTATAAAAAGGTTATAATGGCTTAAAATTATGCGCTCATCATTTCTAAGCAACTCAAATAGAGTATATTTCAGTTTACAACTAGTAGTATTTCAAATAACTTTTTTAGCTTTCTGGAAACAAAACCTCGAAACATCGAGATTAGGATGGTAGGTTAGATGTCAAGCTGAAAAATAAATAGGGACAATTATAATGCTGTTGTTTACGTCGATCTGCGATTTGGTTACATTTAAAAACATTTAAAAACATATGAAAGGGAGGTTATTCAATTGAAAAAGCAACAACTAACTAATTTTCGAGTAGAACTGTTAACCGACCACTAAAATGGTGACTGATGTTTCAATATTTCAAAATAAGACTAATTGCTCATTCAAACTTATGTATATCAACATTGTCAAAAAATAGGATCCAATTAATTTCGAAACATGGTTCGATTGGATGTCAGTTTATGAATAATTAATAATTGACAGCCTATATAAATTTTGAAACAGACTTATAATCGAAAGAAATGGAATAAATTATTTTAAAAATGTGGGGACTGCTTTTGTTCAGGAAGATTCATCTGGAAATACGGAAAGTTAATCTAGAAAAGTGAATTTTTATGGGGAAATGAAAGTGTTAGAAAATGCAAAAAAGTACAAAGGAGTCCATATAAGGAATTAAAGAAAAGAAGAATCAAAGAGAAAATGGCTCATTGGTGCGGTCCCCTACCAATTCGACGCAGATGCTCGAAATGAGGCGTGTCGGTGTCAAAAAAAGTCAGTGGTTCTCGAAACGACAAAAAGCTTCCTTTTAGGAATAATGGTTGGATTCCTCGTCAGTCTTCACGATTTCGGATGGAAGAAAAAAGGAAGAAAAAGGGGTGAGAAAGATGGTGCTTCATTTGAACTGACGGGAATGCTGCCGTTTTTCCCGCAATTACCATTCGAGGCGGAAAGAGTGGGTGAGAAGATAAATGAGCTAACACTACTATGTACCTGTGGGTGTTTTGGGTTCTTAGTCCTACGGTAATTGTGGTTTGCTTGGGAAAGTGGGAGAAAGAGGAGTGCCCCTTGGCAAATGAAAATCATAGGGCGAGAAGTGGATTTGACGATGCAGCTGGACCTTATGAGCAAACTGGAGACGATTTTTGAAAGTTGTGGTGACAAGTGGAAACATCCATGCGTTCGCTGTTAAGCCTTCGGGTGAACTGGTAAGTAAAAAACAAATAAATTTTCAAAATTCCTAAAAAGTAAGTTTCTAAACTTTTTCATTGAAAAAAAAACTAATCAGTAGTTGTTTCATTGATGAAGATTACATATTGTTTGGTAGGAATCCGTTAAAGTTGGATGGTGCTGTTTTCAGCATTTCAAAAGTTTCTAACTGTTTATTTTGTATTTTGAAAAAATGTGAGAATCATTTTTTCAGGTTAAATTAGCTTTTGAGACATCTTATTAGATTTAAAAAATAAGAAGCAAATTTCCTCATTCCTTATTTATTTTTCTAAATTTTGAACTATTATTCCGGTTTCCTTTATGTCATATTTCAAATTCGAGCTTGCTCAGTCGCTGACAGAGTTTCAAACAATTTGACTCTGCCAGTTCCAAGTTCGTTTTCGTGTATCGTCTTTTTTTGTAGCGTTCGAGTTTTCCCTCTACCACTGGCGCGGTGTCTGCGTCTCTGGCGTTTGAACACTCTCTCGATGCTTCTACATTTTTTCCGCAGAACACCATTTTATGCCCTCCATCGTTAACACACTATCTAGTTTTTGTGTGTTTCACCCTCATCAACCTTTTTTATTTGGCACATCCTTGGCGCATTTTTTTACCGTAACATAAAGCATAAAAAAACTTCATAAACCCCATGATTTTTTTTTCGACTGGTCACCAACTGATTACGGAGACCTCACTTTATTTTTACCGAAATTTCTAAAATGTGAAGCGTGATAATATCAAAATGGAAAATCTTTGAAAAAGTAAGTAATCGAAATAAGGCGAACGGAACATTGTAAAATTGAAAATTTTCAGAGTTTTTCAAATGAGTAGTCATGATATTTCATTCGAAGGCTTCTTGAGCTGCAAGATCAATGCACTCAGGAATTTAGAAGCTGCCGGTAATTGCAGGAAAAGTGTGTGGGCGATTGATGTTTTTCCTCTGCAAAAGTGAGTAACAGAGTAATCATCAAATAAAAAAATAATTTTCAGAATGCGCAAAAGATGGAAACCAGAGAGATTGTCAGCACTCTAACAAAGAATGAGCGTTCACCGGCACTAGATCGCCGGTGTTTTTCACATAGTCAAGTATGACAAACGGGTGAAGAACAATGCTGATGGTGAAGGTGGACTCTTCCGATTGGCCCAAAAAGTTTTAACTGATGAGGAGAAAAAAGGCCTTTGTTGCAGGTTACAAGGAAAAAGAGCCCATCCCTCAGGATGCATCTATACCAATTTATATAAATGATTTTGTATTCTTTGTTTCTTTGATCTGGACATAGTCCATCCATTCCATGATTCATCTCCTTTTTTCATTAGCTTTTATCGTTCAACCCACACATCACTTTTTGACGTCTCTCTGAAAACAATTCTCTCTGACTGAAATTTCTCAGAAACAATTTCCCCCTTCCGACTCCTTAGATAAACAAATAATTCAAATTAGAACTGACCCTTTTTCGAACACGCCCAGAACAGAACAAGAACGGAATCGAACTGTTCCAACTCGAACTGATTTGGTGTCGAACTGTCCCGAATTGGAACTCTGTTAGCAACAGAGCGCGCTTGCATTACCTATGAAAATTTCAAGTTTTCTCCAGAAAAAAATCATTTTTACAACAAAAAAGCATTTTCATTTGAATACAGTGAGGAAGAAAACAATTTGAAAATAGAAAATATGTGTTAAAAAAGAAAGAATTGATGACTTTTAAACAGAATGGGCGTCGGAGATGGTGTCTAATAAATTGAGACCAGTCAAAGGCATAATTGGCGGGATTGGCTGATTTATTAGCGTCTTGATGAGTCTCCCGTCCTTCAATGCGTTGGTGAGTTTTCTGTTTCGATTCACCTGAAATCAATTTAGGTGTTCAAAAGTAGAAACAGACCTGGAAATTCGGATTTAGTTTCAACTCATTCCAATCCATCTTTCTATGCTAACTTCACTACTAACTTCACTTCTGACAAAATTTTCGTCGTGTCTCGCATGCTGATTTTTAACAGTGAACGTGTTATTCATTCTGTTTATATTCTCGAAACGGGATGAGAAATCCGCAAAACATCCAAAATAAGTGAAAAAGTTCTTTTGGCCCATTCTCCCGGGGTACATCAGAATGGGGTACATCGTGCTCATGGGGTACAAAGTCTCAGGGGGTACATAGTCTCATGGGGTACATTTTAGGTATAATCTCATGGGGTACATTTTTCGCTTTCTCATGGGGTACATCTCTGAAATACTCAGGGGGTACATCGCATTGTCTCAGAGGGTACATCGCATTGAATCTCATGTGGTACACATCAAGTCGGATTCTACAGTTTCAGCGCTCATAGCTGCCTGATTTTTCCAACATTCGTTACATATTATGAGTGGTTTTTTTTGTTTTCCATGTAGTTATTCAAGAATGTAATTTCGCTTTTGATGTGGTTTGGAACAGAGATAACTGTCCAACATTATTTCTTCTCATTCATAATTCAGAAACATTTGGCTGATTGAAGAAAAATTGCCTATTGCAAGATATTCGGAGATTTCGGCAAATTCTCTTATACAACCATCTCTTATACTACTTTTCTCTTATACTACCGAGTCTCTTTTACTACCAGTGTCTCTTATACTACTTTTTTTCAATGTGTCTCTCATACTACCAAGTCTCTTTTACTACCAAGGTCTCTTATACTACTTCTTACCACAGAGTCTCCCATACTACCAAAAGAAACAAGGCTTTCGGCCTAATCCTATACTTGGCAAAAAATTTGAATGGGAAAAAACGGAAAATTGGGCAAAAACGAAGGAATATTGAAAGCAAAAGGAAATGAAATAGAATTGAGAAGAAAACAATTAAGAAAAATTGGTAGTGAGGGAAGTATGGACTGGGGTTTAAAACCTAAATTAAACATTAAAATCCTGAGTTTGTGAAATTTGTGAAGATTATTTTACAGTTCTCTATTGTGTACGTTCTAGAAATTTCGAGACTCAAAAATTCAAAGCAACTAATGCCTTTCAGCAAATGCCCAACAATTTCCACAATTTTTTTTTCATAAAGAGTGAAATATATGACACAAAATCAAAAAGAACAATCAAAAGACAATGAGAAGTGAAAATTTTCTGCCGTAGTTTTTGAAAATTCAGAAATATTGAGATTCTGAAGTTCTGAAATTCTGAGGTTTTGAGGCCCTGAAATTCTGAAATTTTGAAGTTCTGAAATTCTGAGATTCTGAATTCGGAAGTTCTCAGATTTTCAGTTTCTGAAGTTCCGAAATTCTCAGATTCCGAAATACTGAAATTCCAAAGTTCTGAAATTCTAAGAATTCTGAGATTTTCAAGCTCTGGAATGCAGGAATTCAGAAACTCCTTCAAAAAATTGTACCCCCGAATCACAAGCGTTGTACCCCTGTTTGAAATGGGTTGTACTCCAGAATCATTGGTAATTTTCACCCCCAAATTTTTGAACCTACTAATTTTGTACCCCCGAATCACCAATTTTGTACCCCTAAATCAGTTGTACCCCCTTGTACCCCCCAAATTTTTTGCCAACTATAGGATTAGGCCGAAAGCCTTGTTTCTTTTGGTAGTATGGGAGACTCTGTGGTAAGAAGTAGTATAAGAGACCTTGGTAGTAAAAGAGACTTGGTAGTATGAGAGACACATTGAAAAAAAGTAGTATAAGAGACAGTGGTAATAAAAGAGACTCGGTAGTATAAGAGACACATTGGAAAAAAGTAGTATAAGAGACAGTGGTAGTAAAAGAGACTCGGTAGTATAAGAGAAAAGTAGTATAAGAGATGGTTGTATAAGAGAATTTGCCGAAATCTCCGAATATCTTGCAATAGGCAATTTTTCTTCAATCAGCCAAATGTTTCTGAATTATGAATGAGAAGAAATAATGTTGGACAGTTATCTCTGTTCCAAACCACATCAAAAGCGAAATTACATTCTTGAATAACTACATGGAAAACAAAAAAAACCACTCATAATATGTAACGAATGTTGGAAAAATCAGGCAGCTATGAGCGCTGAAACTGTAGAATCCGACTTGATGTGTACCACATGAGATTCAATGCGATGTACCCTCTGAGACAATGCGATGTACCCCCTGAGTATTTCAGAGATGTACCCCATGAGAAAGCGAAAAATGTACCCCATGAGATTATACCTAAAATGTACCCCATGAGACTATGTACCCCCTGAGACTTTGTACCCCATGAGCACGATGTACCCCCGATGTACCCCATTCTGATGTACCCCGGGAGTATGGGCCAGTTCTTTTCTGGAGAAAACATGCAAAATTTGTTGACAAAAATAATTTAAAAAAGCAAGCGCGCCCTGTTGCTAGCAGAGTTCTAATCCGGGACAGTTCGACACCGCATAGTTTGAATTCGTAGCAGTTCGATTCTGTTCATGTTCTGTTCTGGGCGTGTTCGAAAAAGGGACAGTTCTAATTCGAACGAGTTCGATTTCGGGACAGTTCGATTTCGGGAAAGTTCGAATTCATCGTACCCTCCCAAAAATTCACTCCAAAAGTGAGAAATTAGCACTGAAATCACTTTCAAAGCCCATGAGGGGCAAGGGGCAAAACATAAAAGCAGCACTGTGATTAGCGCGTCCAAAAGTACCAATTACAAAATTTTGAACAAATTCTCAACCACTGTCTGAAAACACTTCCCTTGTAAGAACCATATTTTTCATATCAATCGAATTGTTTACAGAAGTTTTATTCACTTTCAAGAAGTTGGGAAAAAATTCCGATTGAAATATACAACGACTGACTGTCACATAGCAACAGCAAAAACAGATTGAAACATTTTCTCAGAGCAATCATCCAATAATATAAACGGTCAAAAAGAAAACCGAAAATTAGAAGTATAATAAAAGTGAAAAAGAAAGCAGAACTAGAAGAATTTTTTGCTTTTTGATTAAATGGGAATCGACTTTTGACGGGAATAAACACATTTGGTGGTAGCGGGTGCATAAAAATAATCATAAATGTTTGACAATTAAATACTTATGAACAAAGTTATACAGTGCGTCGCATAACTATAGGACTCCCTCAATTTGGGGTGTACAGCAAAAACTAGAGTAGATATGAAAAATCTGTGAATGCAGTTGGATTCAGAATCAAAAATAATTCTAGGAACCAAATTTTCAGAACCCTACCATTTTTCATACCCTCACGGCAAGAAAAAGGTCCATTTTCGACCGTCGCATAACTATAGGACCCCCAGATGTTTTGGGTGCACAGGTCGTTTTTTGACCATTTTATCTACTCTAAATTGTTTTATTTACGTTTTTCATTGTTTTAAGCTTTTTCTGAAGATGTTTCTCGCAACTTTCTTTCAACATCTTCGTGTGGAACATCCCACAATGCAAGGAACTCATTTTCGAGATCAAGCTTCACTTCTGGCCCTTCCGTAAATCTCCAGCTGCATTTTTTTACAGTAATTCGGATCGTGGCGATAGTTTGATGTGCAGGTACAGTAACTGAAAATATTAGTTGGTCCCTTTTTTTTCATATCTACTCTAGTTTTTGCTGTACACTTCAAATTGAGGGAGTCCTATAGTTATGCGACGCACTGTAGTTAGTTAATAAGAAGATTATGACAAAAAAAAATTAGTAGAAAAGTTGAGCAGTTCTCGTATCATATTTTGTTAGAATCATTTGGTAGTGAGCTTCGTCGTATTTGCGAAGAATTTGGCTTCCGATGATTAGAACATTCAGAGTCATGAAGAAAGTGATAACGGCAGAAACTGAGAAAAAGATAAAAGCGACAACAACGTTCATTGTGCTCTCATCTACACAGTTATTTGTTCCGCAGTTCTCAGACAAAGCGTTGTAGACAGTGTCATAGTAGAAAGCTGTAAATGAAATTTTTCTTTGTTTCATCAATGTTCGAAACCTCTATACTTACTGTTGTCGGTTAGAATCAAGAGAATTGCAACAAGGATTGAGATGGTTTTAAAGATCGAGGTGAAAAGAAAACCAACCAGAACGTAACCATTGAAAATATTGAAAGCACTGAAAACGAAAAATTGATTATTGTGCACTATGGCGGACTGAAACTCACGAGAGAACGAATGATGTGACACATGTGATGATTGAAATCAGAAAGTCAATACGGGAACAGACTTGAACAGTCATGCTAACCAACTCAGTCTGAGAATTAATTTTTATTAGAATTTCATTTGTGATGAGGAGTGACTAACCGTATATATTTGGTTGACTTTTTTGTCTTCTTTTTCGGTGTATGCTGGAGGCTTGGAAAAAAGCATGTTTGAACGAAATACCCTGTAAAGTTGTACCTCGAGAAAATTCGTTGAATGGTGGTTTGCGCACATTAATTTTATTGAAAAGTGAAAAAGCAAAACTACTGATGTTTAATTTCAGCAGCAACGTTGAGCTACGCGCAAAAAAACTTATAAGTATGAGTGTGAAGTCTTCAGCATTCCACTGTGCGAAAAATCACTTTTCTGCAAAAAGAAATCAAATGGAATGTTTTGAAACACCAAAATATGAACTATTCATTCTTGACATTTTGAACTGGTTGAAAGGCATTGCTAAAGAAGCAAAGCTTCATTTAAGCATGGAAATTGAACTTGAAAAAGTGCAAATCACTAGAAAATCAAAACTTCTGAATTCATGGAGGTTTTCAACTCAAAAACTAGTTTAACAGCTCTGAAAAAAATTTAAAATTAGGAACATCTCAGAAAGAGAATTCACAAAGCCGTTTTCTGAAAAGATCGATATGGAAAATGGGAAATGGAAATCCAAAATATCCTATTCCGGAAATTGAAAAAAAAGAAAGACAAATGACTTTTCCACACCAACATAAGACGAATGTAAATGCTCGCAAGAGTTGGCGTCAAAACGTAAGACACTACTCGAAACGACAAGTCCTTCTCTTCTCCGAATAATTGTGGGTTCCTCGTAAATCTTAGCAATTTGGGAGACGGAAAAAAAATTGAATGAGAAAAACGAGGTTTTGTGCTGTTTGACGAACTACGTGCGGTTTTTCAACCAAACTGGAGCTTTTCTACCAACTGGAGCAGGAGAATTTATGTTCCTTTGTAATCCTACTGAAATGGAATTTACTGCTTTTTCTCAACCGAAATCTTTAATGACCGATTTGAGTACCGTAGTTTAACTTCTCAAAAAAAAAGAGAAACGAAATTCAAAATGTGAAGTTTTTGTTTGTTTTATTAAGCTATATAACCAAAATTCTGCTTTTACTAGAAATGCGCGTTACTAGAAGTGGGCGTCTTAATCATTATTTTTCCGAAAAGTAAAGTGAAGTTCCATAAATCAAATCGTCCTACTAGAAGTAATTTTTGCATAAGGCATCTATTAAAAATGCTTCAAGCCAAAATGCTGATCAGAAATCTGAAAATGTTTGTCAGCTGAAATATCGCACTACATATCCATTAGAAAATCAAAACACAAATTCGGTTTTAAAATCGTAATAATATTTATTGATAATTATCTCCTGATGTTCACAGAATTCATAGTAAATGGAATGGATCAGTAAACTTTTAAAAATCCTTTGCAATAAAATTACTGTTTGTGGGCAAAAAGAATTTTACAGACAAAGATGAAGTGTAAAATTACAAACATATTTTCATCGTACAAGCCGTGCTTTTTTTCTGGATTCTCATGGCTCGGCCAGGAATCCAATTGTGTTTTATTCTTTTTTTTTAAACAAATCTGGGGTAACTACAAAAATATGAACAAAAAGAGCCTAAAAAAGCCTAAAAAATCATTAAAAAATTCTGAAATTACGGTTTTTTTCAAATGAAAAACGCGAGCCTACCGGGTCGGACCGGGTCCTAATTTTTCAAGTATGATGTTTACGAATTTTAATTATTCGTATTAAAAGAATAAAATCGTTTTAATCGTATTAAAATCTCATTTTTTGAATACCGAAAAACAGAAAAAGAGCTCTCGGCTCAAGACTTGTGGGAAGAAGGATGACTTTTTCCGACACATAAATCAAGTGACGTACTTCCATTCTCTTTTCAATCGGAGCTTGAACGAGCCAAGATGAAAAGAAAGGGAAGATGATTAATGTGACAGTTAAATTCATTATTTTTCTAAAATATTAGACAAATTTGCAGATGTGTTTTTTTTTGTTTTCAACTCAAGAAAGAAAACATTCTTTTCGAAAAGTCGGGTCACTGTGAACTTTATTCTTACAGCACATTTTGAGAAAAATTCAAAAACAATAAGTGATTTAATCGGGATCATATATCTTGGGAATATCTTCGGAAAGAAGAGGGATTTTTGTAGACTGGAGAAAAATGATTCTCACCAGAGTGAAACCTTGTGACAATGCTTAACAAAGTTTCTTATTTTACGTGACGGAAACTATTTGAAGTTACAGAGAATTAACCTGAAACTATTGGAAAGTTTTAAGGGCACTGATACAAGAAACAGAACTAACAAGGGAAGTACGCGAAGTGTCCTCTCGCTTTTTCTTAGATATTGGTGGCAAAAAATGTTCCTTTCCCAGATTAGCACAAAACAAATAATATAAGGTCCCCATAGGCAGCTTGAGCAGAATGGCAAAACTTTTTGTGATTTTTCAGAAAAAGTGGATCAAGTCCATTCAAAAAGCCATAACTTTGTACAGATTTAAGATAAAATTATACACTAAATTGTGTTTTGTAGCACGGATTACAGGCTACAAAAAACTTTTTTTCACCGTTATTCTATCTTTGCAAAGAAATTTACTAGGATGGGAAATGTCCGAATGGTCCGATAGTGTAAAATCAAAAAATGCCGATTTTCGAAAAAACACTTTTGGGAGACTATGTCTATTCAATTTCTTGTATGACATAAAGTATTAACGCAATCTCAAATATATGGCACTGTCCATTTAAGATAAATTTTTTTAAAATTAACTTTTTTCATCCACATCCATGTCTCACTGATTCACCATGGAATTTTTTTGTTATTATTTTAATAATCATAGATTTTGAAAACAAACATTCATGATCATGTTACGATGCTTTACACTTTTTCCAGATCTCAGACTTTTTTTGTCCCAAAGATTTCCGCAAGATGATATACGAGCTTCATTAAGGGTTGTGAACTTTTTGAAACTAGTTAAAGTTCATCCGAATGAAACAACATTCAATTAACCATTGATGGTAACATAGGATTATGAAAAAAAAAGTGATTAATCGAAAATATCAGTGGATGTGAGTCAAGAAGTGGGGGAAACAGAGACAAGTGTGGCAGTGAGCGCAGACCAAGAAAGTGTCAACCTTACAACGTCTTTTTTCGCAAATCAGTCTATCAACTGGCAAATCGAAACAAAAATGAGATGGTGTAATGAAAGCAGGTGGTTTTGTGAGGGAGAAGCCTGCTGAATACCAAGAATATCGAATCATATCTCTGAAGACTGGCGCTGAGAACTGGCACATTGAGAGATTAGCTAGATCGAGCAAATTCTCTCTTTTCAAAATAGTCTAATTTGGATAGTATAGTCGAATAAAATCCTCCAATTTTCGAAGGAATTCCTTAATTGGACGGTTGAAGTACGTATCCAGCGGTTGCAAAAAGGGCGTTGAATTTTCCGGGAGAGTTTCGATACAGAGTTTTTTTTGTGACTGCTCCAAGGTTTCGAATTTGTTGAAATCCACGCCAACTATCGACAAACAGGCAAGATTTTTTTGGAATTCGAGGGAGAAATTCATTGGCGAATTCGGAAGTCATCATTCCAGACGAAGCATTCTTGATATAAAAATACTTGTAGTTGTTGCGGGTGGTTTGAAACTTTTTCGGGAGATTTTTTCATGCAGAAAAACCAGAGTTTTATCAAAAACTTTTCCGTCAGCAGTGATTTCCATGTGCAGCGTCACAGAATGAGTCAATGCTGAACTTCTTTGATTTTTTCTGCTGACATTTCGAGACCCCTTATCAGTGACCGATCGGTTGCCCATTAACTCCATTCGAAGTCCACTTTGTTGATAGCGGATCCTCAGTCAGTCGAGACCGATCCTACGTCCTAACCCGAGAGTGTCTGCAACCTGAAATGACCCCCAATTCCCCCCAAACGTGTAACAAGGGAACCACAACACCTCGTCAGTTTGGATTTTGATGAAATTTTTAGTATATGTCAAGGATATCCTATCTAGACATCCCTGAAAATTTTAGAACACGCTCGCCACTTTCAGCCGAGTTATATCAGTTTCAGTACCAAAAATCGCGTTTTCAGTGCAAAAATAGCGATTTTCAAAGGTGATTTTCTCCGCTCCCATGAGGTTCCAGAACATGAAACTAAATTTGCTATACTCAGAATTATGTGTAATATCATATTTCAGACATTTTCTGAAAAAAATTTTTTGAAAAAATTTGAGATTTTTTTCCACCATTTGGGTGATTTTAACGAGCTTTTGTCAATTTGGAAAATTTCCTTGAAAAAGTAGTGATAATTGTTTGCAAATATTATTTTACAACTGATAGATAATCTAAACAACATATGTCAGAGGGATCCTGAAATGTCGCAAAATGAGAAAAGAAAAAGAAAAAAAGAAAAAACATTAGAAGGTCCGAACTCGCAGCCTTGTGACTACTGACGCCCACCACATCCCCGACACCACGCCGTCGACATTTGCTATTGATTCGAAAGGCGCTTGAATGTCAGGCCCTCTTCAAACTACTTTTAAAGGGATTTCGGGGACGAAATGTGTCTTAAAGCATGCAAATCAACAGATTTCAGTACTAAAACTTTGGACTGATATAACTCTGCTGTTTTTAAGTTCATCCTCATTTTTCACTTTTTTTTGCTGACGAATTTGTTAATATGGCGCGAAACGAGTCGATGTTTTTTTCTTGCAGTTATCAATCCAGTGATGACTTGCGTAAAGAATTTCACTGAATACACTAGTAGGAAAAAAACATTTTGGACCTCGAATTTGTGAATTCCCAGACGCCTAATCATGAATGATATTATATTCTTCTGCCATCTTCTTAATAATACCCCAAACATTTGAGTCTATCATTTGGAAAATATTACGTTTATATCTAATAAAAAACTTCTATCGGAAAACGTTTTTCAATGTGGTTTAATTGAAACGTCATACCTATAGATCAGTTTATTTGCCACCACAACAGTTCCAAGTCGTCTGAATCGATGTACTAATGTTTCCGTGGTCCATTAATTTCTGTCTTTCAAATATATAATGTGCTTCCATGTTGACTTTCGATAAGGGGTTTTTAAAATATTTGCCGTTTGTTCTTCATGAGAATCATCTGAGCTGACTTCTTGTGTATGAACCATATCTTCTTCGTCTTCCACGCTATCACAGCTTTTGAGAGCATCTGTAGTCATACACATACAATGCTCGGAAATAGAAAAAAAATACCTGTCGCTTTATAGATAGTTTTTAGCTCATTACGATTTTTTTTTGTTGTTGACTGTGCGGCAGTCAACGTTTCAACAAGAGTTTGAATTGTTTGTTTTTCTCTTGGTTTCCCTTCATTTTCATCTGACTTTGATGGTTCTTTTTCATTCTTGACGGCGAGCCTATGTGGCCCTTTAGGCCATCGTTTATACCATTTACCCCTCCTCTGAAAAACAGTAGAGAAAAATAAGATAAAATGACAAAAAGAACAAAAAAAAAACAAAATGTTTAAAAATATTTGAAAATACTTCCCAGAGTTTTTCGAGTCCGATTCGCTGTAGAGCGCAAATGCATCGATTTCCAAATCGAAATTTTCATTGTTTATATTAGTGGTCAGCACTCGAGTTAATGTTGATTGTTTAGCTCATATGGTTAGAGCTTTGGTTCCAATTTAACATTATCGAGTTCGATTCCAATCGCTGCGCTCACTGCCACACTTGTCTCTGTTTCCCTCATTTCTTGACTCACATCCACTGATATTTTCGACCATTCACTTTTTTTTCATAATCCTATGTTGCCATCAATGGTTTAATGAATGTTGTTTTATTTGGATGAACTTAAACTAGTTTCAGAAAATCCACAATCTTTAATGAAGCTCGTATATCATCTTGCAGAAATCTTTGTGACAAAAAAGTCTGAGATCTGGAAAAAGTGTAAAGCATCGTAACATGATCATGAATGTTTGTTTTCAAAATCTACTGTATATTCAATAAAACGTG